GAAAGGGGCCTGGCTCCGAGGGCTGAGCGGAGGCTCTGAGAGCGGTAAACGCTGCCTTTCCATAACTTCCTGTCTGCGGGGCTGGGCTGTAAATTCATATTCACGCTCTGGCTTCCTCTCTGGGCCGAGCTCACGTGGGCAGGAACTTGGTATTTGGGCATTTCTCAAGCCGGCCAGCGGCTGGCACTTCGCGGACAGAGCCTGCCTCCACGCGGGCCTGATCACCGCAGGGCCCGAAGCACATAAATTTCCCCTCCGATCCTGGGGGACACGTCTGGAAGGAGGTGGGGTGGGGGAGGAAAGGAAATAGTCACCCGGAGCGCCTGAGGGCGGGGCAAGAACTGGAAGGGAAAGGAAATCTGTAAGCACGCTCAGTAGTCACTGAATCAGCGGTTCTCAACCTGTGGGTCGCGACCTCTTTGGGGTTGAATGACCCTTTCACAGGGGTCACCTAAGACCATCGGAAAACACATATATAATTACATATTGTTTTTGTGATTAATCACTATGCTTTAATTATGTTCAATTTATAACAATGAAAATACATCTTGCATATCAGATATTTACATGACGATTCATAACGGCAAAATTACAGTTATGAAGTAGCAACAAAAATAATTTTATGGTTGGGGGTCACCACAACATGAGGAACTGTATTAAAGGGTCGCAGCATTAGGAAGGTTGAGAACCACTGCGCGACTGAATCAACAGAAAAGGTAGATTTGAAATGTGCAAGTCTTTGCCAACAATTATTTAGGTCCAGGGAGATGGAAGGTCATCCGTGGACACTGTGCACATAAGGAAGAATCAGTCTTCCAGTTTATTTCACAAAGTGGTTATAGTAATTTTCTTAAATGGTCCTGGGGCTCCTAGAGCAGTTGTTCCGTTTGCTTTCATTAACGGAACTCCAGCTCTGTTGGAGGGGAGGCTTCAGGAGCCAGAATTGGATTAATTAAACCCTTGCTTCGGGCATGCTCTCATCTTTGGTCTGTAACTAGCCATCTTTTTTCTCTCTCTCTCATTTAAATACTAGTCATTTAGCAATAAAATGGAATAGGACACCTGTGAACCTGCACTAACCTAAGAACTAAGAACTGGAAGTGGCTCTCTTACTCAAAGTCACTAATTATCAGAGAGATGCAAATCAAAAGAAAAATAGCAATGCTGTACCATCTCACACCTGTCAGGATGGCTATCATCAACAAACGACAAATGCTGTCGAGGATGCGGAG